AAGCACAAAGCCCATGTAATTAAGGGGAAACGACATTCAGCAGCCAGCAAATTGAAGGAGCAGCAGGAGGATATAAAGCAGAATCAAGGTCTTTAAAGGAAGGCGTTGGGGGGGGGGGGAGAAATTGGACGAATATATCTTCCCTCTTTTTAAGTTTGACAGCAAAAAAAAAAAATTGCTTCCCATTCTTTGAAAATCCTCACAATCTATTTGGAGTCCCTAGTTGAAATATGCGATGGTAACTAATAAATTTTAATGGATGCGCAGAGCCATTTTGGAGTAAAGAATTTTGTAGAAGAAAGATGAAAATACATACATGATATTGATTATATTGATGATTGATGTAGATACATGCAAGACTAATATCCAACAGTGAATTGAGAATGGGGAGAGTTGGGCCTGGGTGGAGGCCCAAAGAGGAGGTGGAGGGAAAGGGACAGGACGAAAGAAGACAGGAAATCTTTTGCAATCTAGAGGATCGTGAAAGCTGCACATACAGTTGAAAACTTTGTATCTGGCCCCATCCCCACCAATACCTTTCCCTCCCAAACATTTTGTATTTATTTTATTATGCAAGTCACGCAAGAACCCTCCCATACACTAGGATGTGGACAAGTACCAGAACAGGACCTAATGGGATATTCTGCCCACCACCGTCCCATGTGCATGTGACCTTGTCCCCTCCCTCTCTCTAGCCATCTCCTGCACCATCCATTCTCTTTCTTTCACAAGCCCCTTCAACCCGGCCAGTATGCGCGAGGCAACAGATTTTCAATTCCCACGAAAAAAAAAAAATGATGGTTTGAGTGGGCAAACACCGACCCTTGTTCGTGGTTGCATCCTCGTCGACCGTCCCTTGTTAGTCAACGGACGGCTTTCCGAATCTGGTGCTGTTGCTTCGCTCTTCATGGTATTCCACGGAGTAACATCTTTCTTACGGCGTGCCCCACGTCTGTGTCTTTTGTTGTATATGTTACTATTCAAGTTGGAGGTGGATGAATTTACTATAGGTGTTGAAGAAACGCGGGGCAAGTGTTGGAACGTGGTGGCCACGCAATCATAACGGAAGCAGAAGAACACGCATGGTTGAATTTGGATTGATGATGATGATGATGATGTGTCGAGAACCCAACACATGCACCTCCTCCATCAATGATGCTTGTCTTCCATGTTAAGTTGGTTTCTCCTCATCACCATTCTGTTTCTTACCTCACTCCCACCACCTTCCACTTCACTTCATCACTCTGTTCGCCACATTCCCTTCTCTCGTGCTCCTTCTCTCCAATATTTCTTTTCATTCCCTAATTATCCTCCTAATAAAATTATTATTATTCTTATTATTACCGCCACCGTCTTCAAGGCGCAAATTTATTGCCGACGAAATGTCCATGTGTGTGTATTTACGTACGTGGACGGTTGACAGAGAGTTTAGATTGGCCCGTAGTGGCCAGAATGAGTTATGAAACTTTAAGTGACGTTGCAGGTCGGGTTTAAATCGAATTTAATGCCCCCCATTATGGTGACGTGATGCTTTATCTGAACCCTAAACTCTTCCTTTAATTATTTCCGCCACTTCTTCCATAATATTAATACATTTTAATTTCTCCGCGCATTTAAACTTTTCTACATTTTTTTCTTCCCCTTCGCCCAATTTTAGACACCTTAAATATGTGAGTTGATTACAAAACTACGGCAACTGCTATTTCAAACGTCTAGACAAATAGTAGTAATATCTTATGTTGTAAACTGAAACAACCAAACACTAGGAATATGAGACATTATACTCTGTGATGGGTATGCTTGGTTGAGGTTCAGATCCTCTGCCCTTAAATTCGTGAAATTAGTTAGAGAGGTTAGATCAACTCGGGTGCCCGAAAAGGAAAAAAATAGAAATGACCAACAACTGTACACGCGGCACCTAATTTTTAAGGGCGGCCACAGAAGGAAGAGAGAGAATCAATGCACATGTGCTTCTCGACGTGTTACTGTTGCTTAATGGGTCAGTTTTAGTTAAGACAGTGACATCCTCAAATCTTTATGATCTCTGTGAGATTTCTTTCCCCAGGAACACGGTCCTGTACCTTGCACGTAGCACCTATGGCCGAGACTCAGTTTTCATGGCGTGGACTGGGATGTGAACGGATATTTCTGTTATAGCAGTTGGCCAGCTCATGCCTCCACTGCTACATATTCTTGCTTCTGCGTTCCAATTTATGCATTAACCTGTAAAATTAGCAATAATATGCATTGTTCCTGAATATCAAGGCGATGTTCATTTGACATACAGAGTGGCAATGCAATGCAACGAAAAAATCATGTATATGAAAAATATCAGGACTTCTTTTTAGACAAAAAACAGCAAAAATAATAAAATAAATTAGATAACATCTCTTGTATAAGCTTAGTTGAAGGACGTTTGCTTTTACCTTACATCCTCTGAATAGATTGTTCTCAATAAACATTCTCCCCTCCCAAATAAAATAAATTAGGTAAGTTTCCCGACAGAAAATGTCAAACAAAAACTATTGACATGTGAAAGATAAATGAGGCGTATTCAGTAAATTCAACAATGATAGTATGATACCATTCATTTTTATTTCTATATAAATTCAACCCTAAATGATTTTGTTATAACTTTTATCATGTGTACCATTGATTAAGATATTAATGTTATAAATACCCAGATAATTATATTTGAGGCACAATGATAAATGATGTCCAGGGCATTTTTTTGGGTTCCCATTCTGTAATCATCAATCGTTTGCCTAATTTGAGCTCTTCATTTCACCTTTAATTGATTTTTTTTGTTTTATTTTAATTTTTTAAAATTTTTTAGTATTTTACTGTTAAGATAAAAATTTATAAAAATATAAAAAATTAAATATTAAATTTGGACTGTCTCACATACTCAACAAGGGATGATTACTATCACTACTAAAGAGACCTTAATTGTCCATATTTAAAAATTTTTATTTTTATTTTATATTTATCAAAATAAAAAATTATAAAATATGCAAATTTTTCAATAATTTTGTTTATAATCAATATGGTTCACATTGATTTAATTTAGATTATCTAAATTAATATTATTTTTTATAATTTCATTAATTGATGTATTTTGAACAATATAAATGTAATCTGAATAATTTAATTTAGTATTAAAATTTTTACAATCATTAAAAACTATTAAATTACCCCTGATGTATATCAGGACATACATGTGTAGAGTTGCAAATACTATTAAATTATTACAAATTTAAAAATAAAAATTGTTAATATAAGAATAAAAATTATTAATAAAAAATTAATAATTTTCAACACTTGATGTATATAAAGATTTACAAATATGGAGTTGTGAATGATAATAAAATTATTGTGAATTTAACAACAAAAATTATTAATATATAAACAAAAATTACAAATTTTTTAACATGAATAAAGATAGAAGTGTCATTTTTTTAATGATAAAAATATTCTTTAAACCTTCAAAAAAATTATATCATCTAACGAAATAAATTTATTATTTATATAATTTAAATGAATTTTCCTGCCACTCTCCTTAAACATCAATTTGAGACTAAAAGCGAGCACGGAATGCGCACGCGTTTTCTCCGGTGAGATTACCATAGACCTGTACGGATGATGCGGACGAGGGGGGTGGAAATTATTATTATATTCAGTTTTTAAAAAACATCTTTGCAGAATATCAGTATACTACAGAGAAGTACTGAAAACATTGAAATCCGACGAATCAGGTTCAGATTGATTGTACAGCGTCACCAGTTACGGAGGCAGATACATCGTACAGTGCAGTATCCTGCGCGGCTCATTTGGGGATATCATTTCGACGCTAATGGATCATCTCCACATCTTACCAATAATATCCCTCTACGTGGCGCCGCCTCCACCACTTGTTCGCTGTTCCACTCTGCTCACGCCCTCCACTTCTCCATGCCCTTCCCCTCTTCTGTGGCCCCCGCTCTGCTTGCGACCGCGGACCACCCCCATTTTGCGTCTAACTCAGTGAACAATAAAATTTGAGGACGACTATTACACCTAAGTCCCGCAAAATGGTAACAATTGCGTCTGGAGCCCAATATATTTTGAATTTTCTCAATATGCCTAAAAGCCTCAAATACAACTATATTTCTTTGTGAACGCATTTTCTCTAAATGCTTCCCAGGCGTACATACAGTATAACATCTAAAAAAAAACACATGGCAAAATTCATGATAACAAAATGTCTGTATAGTTAAGTTGGCTAATAACATGCAACTTTTTCAAATATATGTACAGTAGAATCTTAAAAAAAAGTCAAAATTCATATGTATATAACACAATATCTATATATTATACATAATTTGTGTGGTTAAGGTAAATAATAATGTACATATTTTTTATTTACATGCATAATATAATATTCATAAAAAATATAACAATATCCATATATTAAAAATAATATTTATTTATTACACATGATTCATGTGGTAGAGGATAAATACGTTTTTTATGAAAAAATATTTTTATATTTGGGGCTTTCAGACATGTAAAAACAATTCAAAATATATTAGATTTGGATATAATTTTTTACTTAGAGGGACTTTAGTTGAGACTTTCCCATTAAAATATTTAGAATTATTTCATTTTGTTTTTTTGACCGTAGAATTATTTCATTCATATTTTACATTTTTCTTCTCCCAAAAACATGCGAAACGCCACGATCGTCGTTTCTCCTCCTCCCACGTGTCCCTCCTGGACGGCCCTTCCTTCCTCTCCCGTCTCCATTTTACCGTACGGTCCCCCACATTTTGGATTCACAACTTGTCTTTGAAATTTTACGTCACGCTTCGGCTCCTGTAATCAGTGGAGGTCGGCTGGTGGGGTTATTTATGTATTTTGATCCCTGGCCAGGGGCAGGCAGTGTAGTTTAGCCAGGGCCCTAGGGAGTTTTCCGTCAATTCGGTAGGAAAATAGTAGAAATAGAAGATAGATACAGTGAGTACAGGGATATTTGTCAGATCAGAACTGGGAAGCGAGGAAACTCTTTTCTCTAGTTCCCACACACTCTCCCACACTCTCCAATGAACTGGCACACATGCAGCACTGACACGCGGGGAGAGCCCTCTTTCTCATTTCTCAATCCTCCCCCTCTCACTGATCTTGATCCCTCAATCCTTGACGCGACATTCAGCCTTGAAATTTAGACGCGGAGTTTGGAGGCGCGCTAGTTTGGCATTGATTTCTAGCTATCCAGTCCCTTGACTGGACTTCGAACCAGTGATCATTTCATTTCTTTCCAGAGATAGGGGCGGAGCCCAACGACGATTTGTGACCCCATGCAGGAAATACATTCCATCGGAGGCGGTGGATTTTTCGACGGCGGTGGCGGTGGAGCTGGCGGAGGAGACAGGAGAGTGAGGCCGCACCACCACCAGAACCAGCAGGCCTTGAAGTGCCCGCGGTGCGACTCCCTCAACACCAAGTTCTGCTACTACAACAATTACAACCTCTCCCAACCCCGCCATTTCTGCAAGAACTGCCGTCGATACTGGACCAAAGGTGGCGTCCTCCGCAATGTCCCCGTCGGGGGAGGATGCCGTAAATCCAAGCGCTCCAAGCCCAAAACCAGTTCCTCTTCAGAACGTCCTCCCACGCCGATTCGACCCCCGGCGCCGCCCCCGCCACAAGAGCACCACAAGTCCACCTCTCACTCCAGCAGCGAAAGTTCCAGCCTTACCGCCGCCGCCACGGAAGCGTTATCGGCGCCCTCCTCGTTGAACCGCGAGCTGCTCCCCAGTCAGACTTCAAACCCCAATTTGGACTCGGGATTGATGGAGCAAAGCGGGGATTGCGGTATTTTCTCGGAGATAGGGAGCTTGACGAGCCTGATCAACACAACGAGCGAAGCATTGTCGTTCGGCTTCGGGAATATTCCGGAGGCGACGTCGTTCCGGTTCAGCAGTACTGCTCAGCCAGAAGGGATGGCCGGGAACGAGTTATTGTCGGGGGAGTGGCAAGCACAGCAAAAAGAGACGGCGATGAGCGACTTGATTTCACAGCAGGAGCTGAAGTTGCCGGAGATCACACCGGGGTCACTGCTTGATCCGACGGCTCCGGTTGATTTGTCGGCGTTGCAGAGCAAAAACGAGAACGGAGGTTTCGGGTCGCTGGATTGGCAGGGATGCTCGGACCAAGGTCTGTACGACCTGCCTAACACCGTAGATCACGCTTACTGGAGTCACACTCACTGGACGGATCAAGAAAATCCCAGTCTCTTCCATCTTCCGTGATAAGCTTCTGTCCAAGCTTCGAGTAACTTTTTTTTTTCTTTTTTCTTTTTAAGTTAAAAAAGGAAGCAAAGGAAATTTGAAAATAAACCCAAAAAAGCAACCAAAAGCCGAAAGGATTTGCCATAATTATGAGGTGTAAAATTTTCTTTTCATGGTTACTATTTTTCTTCAGAAGATGTTCGCGGGGGTTGATGCTAGTGATGATGTGCACGTACAACTAACTGGTATGGCAGGTTTTCTCTAATATATATATATTTTTTGAATTTCTGGGTTCATGTTTGAAAATATGTATGGGAATGTTGGAACTCGATTATTATATAAGAAAAAGAGAAAAAATGATAAGAGTGTTTATTCATTTATTTTTAAGTAGGGAGGTATTTTTGGTTAGTGAACAGTTAAAGCGTGAAGAATATAGTTTGAGAGGGGGTGCTTAATTAAGAGCGGGGACGCCAGGGGTTGAACGTTGAAAATGACGGCGATAATGGGGCATCAGATTACGGTGGTGGAGGGGAGAGCAGAGGATATAAATAAAGGAGGACTGGAGGAGGGAGTTGTTGGGAATGGGAAAGAGCGGCGAGGTGGGGGTGGGGACACGTGGGATTACGTGACGAGGCAAAGGAGGAGGGGTGGTGGGACCGGAGGGGATGCAGGGGCTGTGGGAACAAGGGAAGGGAGGGAAGTACTAGTGAGGTTGCCGTTGGAACACGGAAGAGCATATTTGGAGGAGGTGGGGAACGCCGCGTTGGGAATCCTCGAAATGGTGGGGAAGGGTGGCGCCGCTATTAATGGGGTGGCCCCACCCCTCCATCATCATCTGGCCTGTACTGCCCTACAAAAAGTCAGCATTGCTATGCTCTCTGTATTTTTGTGGTCTCACGCTTCCATGGTGGTGATGTTATGTACTCAAGTCCATGCATGGCCTCTGCTCTCACTCAATTCCTGTTTCTTCTGGTTTCCTACGCCCTCGCATTCAATGTCCGTCGCTACTTTACATTGCAGAGTCGCACAAGAGAATGGAGTTTGCGACAACTAACTTTACCAAAAGCAAATGGAATGGGAAAAATCAGAAGCGAGCAGGTTTGTGACAAATTATTTATACAATAGAAATTGTTTATCCACGATCAGGGTGGTAGGGCATAAAATGAATAATGGCGCTGCTCAATCCTTTCGTCCTATTATTCGTGCTGTTGAAATCGCAATGCTCTCAAAATCGCATTTTAGGCGAAGCTGTGTGTTTCTGCTTATCCATCCATCCTTCATCGAGGTCTTCTGAAAATTAATGACACTAAACCTGAATAAAAAACTATGCAACAACTGCGTATGAGATAAATTAAAATCAAATATTCACTTCAACCTATGATAAAATAAACTAGAAAATCAATCTAATTAGTTGAAAATGGACCAGATTAAAGTAACACCTAAACTGCTCCATTATCCATGCACTACATGCTCCTCTTATTGCGTCAATAATGTATATTTTCAACTGATGAATCCACTACGTGTATGCTTGTTAAATTTACACATTCGCCTCTTTCTACCAAAAGGGGGGGTGGGTGGGGAGCCAACCTTCGCAAGCAATGCATATGCGTATAAACGAACGCCAAACTTACAATGGACATATCGTAAGGAGTTCACAAATTAACAAAAAAGAGACATGAGCAGAGCCATGCCTGGTTCCAAATGAATTGGAATGTTATTATATGTCAGAACAGGCTAAACGATCCCCGGTGCAGCGTCACCTGCAGGTTCCTGAGAATAAGATAAGGACGTTTCGATCTGATCATCATGCGTAAGTCCCGAACATGCCGAACAGTGCAACCGTATTGTCGACACCAGCATGTCGGTCATACCTTCCCTCGGTTTTCATGGAGCATGTTTGTACAATCGATTCTTTTGAACACGCACTGTTCAATTACTTTCATAAAAGCAGAGGGCGACGCAACAGAAACTCGCTTTATTTTTTGGGGCCTGAATATATAACTTGAATTGAAGTTGACAACAACTTTTTCCTAATATTGAATCCGACATTGCAGGCTGGATTGTCACCGGTTCAAACCTTTCTTTAGAAATTAAACAAAGCTTTGAATGAAGAACCTCAGAACTTAATATCCGCTTGGTTATGTGGAGATGAAAATGAGGCGTTTTCAAAACTGCATAGACCATTCTATTCACATCTCAAGCCAAAAACGCATATGATTAGGAACGTGAAGCAATTAAGCAGTTTCTCAACACATTGTGGATACACGATCTACACCAAGACACCTTTAGTAGAACCATTAACTAAAAAAGAGCAAGACTACAATCTGTCGTGTTGATTTGAATAGTAAAATTTTCCCTTTTTTATTTCTGGTAGGTTTACATTATGGTCAGAGATCTGGCTTTCCATGTGGAATCAAGAAAGTGGAAAAGAAAATATGGTCCTTTCATTCTTCTTTTATTAATATATGCTTTGTGATGAATGGAATAAGGTAGTCTACTCCTTCCTTCAGTATATGCTTTTGGAGTTTGGGCTAGAAATACTTCTTAGTGAAGACCTTCAGTATATGAACGGGGTGTTTGGAATTTTGTTTTTTGATCTCAAAATCGTGGTTTTGGACCCCAAAGTTTGGAGGGGTATCCATACAGGCCCAGCAATGTTAGGGAACTTCAAATAAATATATGTTCTGGGCCATTTAGCATGATTTTGATAGTTTAAGATTTTGCCATCCAAACTTTTGAAAATTGGCTCCATCCAAGATTAAGATTAAGATTAGTGTTCAAAACGTACAAGTGAAGTGATTCTTAATGTTGGTGTATGTCGGCCCAATGATACCGTTCATCCTATAAAGATCAAAATACATCAAGTCCAAATCTTTTACTCTGCCGTCTTGTTCCTCTATCCGGCATATAGAGAATCAAATGGCCAAGTCACTTTCATTCACTCTCATTTTCTCCCGCTCTATATTCTTTACAGGTCCATCCCTTTGAGAGCAAAATTCTGACCTTTTACTTTGTATTTTGTAACATTAACAGGGTCACCTTTTTGCGCAGATTAACCTTACAGATTAGACGAGCAAGCTGCTCTGGAAAAATATAAAGGGAAGCAATGACTTCCAACAACAAGAAGGTGGAGATATTCGAAGAGTTAAATTCCATGCCTCATCATTCATGTTGCCGCTTGAAGGCCTGACGATACCTGGCACTACAAGGACTGTGTTGATGGTTATGACTACAAGCCATATGATTCAGATTTTGTTGCAAAGTAGATTTGTATGAATATGCGATGCATGATATATGTGTCATTCTTGCATGTTGACCTTTTCAATTAAACGTGTATGTTCATTGAAACGGGATGATTTGGATGAGATGGAGACGCAAAAAAAGGAAATAGCAAGAGAAGCTTATATTGTGATTACATCTTGAATTCAACCTCATGTTTTTTAATCCAAGAATCTAAGCCTGAGATTTTGCTGCATAGGTGCGGGTTTATAAGGTACGCTTTTTCATGGCAACCTTGCAGAGTGATCCACCTCTGATAAAGTGGCCATATCTATTTCTACTTACGATTCAGTGAGGTGATCATGGTCTGAGGAAAGGCTTTGTAAGCTATTTGCGATGGTGAAAGAATCCTATGTCAGCAGTCAAACTGTGTTTTACCAAACAAGATTCAGAATAGATATGAAAATAAATAAAATCTCTTGTGGGTTCTTTTCCTTTACACTGTAGCAGAGAAAAACTGAATGCATAATGAAGCAGCTTACGAAAAAAGCCTTGACATTCCATTAGCTTGGGATTTAACTTTGCTCAAGGGTACCCAAAGCCTGCTATTTCGCTATAGCTATAATGACATGGCAATCCTTCAGTCAAACTTCGGCTTTTTCTCCAATTAACACGTGATGAAGACTGAAAAGTGACTTTTTTTCTTTAGTTTCCTTTTTTTTTTCTAATGAAAATCTTATTAGGGCTAGTTAATGATGAATGGGAATGGCGATTCCTCGAAGACTATACTCTTTCCCTTTATTTTCTCCTCCTGTCTCCTTAAATCAAGGACAAACCGAACCAGTAGAGGGAATTATATCAATATGACCAGTGTGGTACCAAAAATGAAAATGGTACAAATAATAAGTCAAGGAAAAGAATGAGCAACTATCAAAATCTAATTTCCATTAAAAAAAAAAAAGCAAGAAGAAACTATCAGAATCTACAACACTGAAAACGCAGAAACCGGACCTTCTGCTTGCTTAAGCGCATACTCTCTGACCTTGGAAGTTGCACTGGGCTGCCCATCCATTCCCAACCCAACCTGCATTGTTCACGACTGCATTAGACATTGTTCCATAGAAGGAATCTGATAAACGGTTCACACCATTAAATATCAAGTTATTAACATACACTGGGAATGCAAAGGAACCTGTACTTCCTTCAGATTGATTAGAGTCCCTTGATTCAGAGGATAACGCTGTTCGATCCTCAACCTTCTCAACTTGACATGCCCTTTTGATGTTGTCCCTCTTTTGCTGTCCGCTCTTGCATATGATGTCTCTTTCTTCGTCCTAAAAGCAAAGTCATTGTAACATGGGGATAGTTATTTAGGGACATTACTGCAGCAGAACAAGTTTATGGGGTGAGGGAAATAGCAAAGCACCTGCTTATAAGGGCTCGTAGGATTTTGATTTGCATATGGTGTATGGTCGTGCGTGCTCTGTTTACTCACTTGTTCTGCATCCTCACCATACTTGAGCTGCTTTTTCAATCCCAGAAAGGAAAACAGATTGAAGAATTCAACTTTTGTATCATTCTCTTCTGTTATTTAAAAAAAACAAAGAAAAAGAAAGAAAGAAAAAGCGCGCGCGCGCGCACAATTGGTAATGGCTATGTACCTTGCGATTCACAGGCCTTGAATTTCTGGAACTCCCATCGACACCACTTGGAAGTTCAGACTTGACGCACTTGCCATCTTTTATAACATCAAATGCTCCATCATCTCTGAAGCAGAACACAATATAGTCTTCATCTGCGGAGGGTGACCAGCTTGAATCATCCACCGTGTGTCCTGGTGAAGCCTCGGTTTTATCCTTTTCACTTCGATTCTTTGTCTCTCTCTTTTTGTTGTATTTTTTGCTCGGTTGTGACAGTTTCTTGTCATTTCCACGACTGACTCGATTGTCGTTTCTCTTGTCGACTGCCATTGGAGGTGACGAAGCTGGTTCACCATCTGCATTGTTGAGAAAAACAAATGTTAAAAGAGAAGGCTTGTCCTTTTCTTGAAGATATCTCCAAGAGTTTCAGTTATACTACGATTTACCTAAAGGCAGGAAACATGAAGCCCAATCCCTAACTCTCCATCTGACAAATCTCGCCATCGTCCATGTGGTGCACATGTTTGTGGACTGATCTGCAGTTACCTGCTTTGCTGCTTAGAAGAGGATGGTGTTTGAGAAATGAAGGGTTAGAGTGATGGAGGTTGGAAGGAGGAGGGGGAAACTGGCATTTGAATTTGAAAAAGCACATTCAGCATCAAGGGAGTTACAGTGTTCATCACATAATAATGAGTAATGAGTCAGTTATGGTTCTGTACATAAAAAGATGAGAAATTTGTGGACATTTCTAGTTGACAACCGTCCATAATTATGTTCAACGGAGCATTAAAATTAGAGTCGCCATCTTTCCCCTTCCATAATCAAATTTTGATACCATCTGTTTCCAATCCTGAAAAGGGTCAAAAGTTATGTTACAGTCAACAGGCAACAGTAATAAGAAAATGCAAATGTGATTTAAACCACATTTTAATCCAAAACTTTAACACAAAAATATTATCTAAGTGTGATTTGATGTATGACATATTGCTCTAGTTCTATTTATAAACAGAGAGCGAATTTTTTTATTATATTTATAAAATATTTTATTGACTTTTTTTCACAATTTTTTAATCCCATTACATGTTAATGAGAGAAAATACATTATAAGAGTATGTATATTAAATAGAAATAAAATTAAAACCTTATAAAATTTTAGAGAGTTGATGAGAAGATTTTTCTTGATTTATAATAATATTGGGTGACTAATAAATAAAATGGAGGTGTACTATAGAATCATTATTTTACTAATTAAGTTTTATTGAAAATGTTTCATACTCACGATATTTAATATTACTCAATGTAATAATAAATCAACACATTAGTGTATTAGTAACAATAAAAGATTGATGAAAAATTTTGGCCAAAAAATAAAAAATGTTAATGCATGAAATAATAAACGTTTTAAACTTTCAATGTATAATTGGTCTATTATATTCAGGCAAAAAAAAAAATAGTCTATTATATCATAGACTCACTAACCTGGTATTTACAGTGTGATACAAATTAAAATTTAATAAATTCGAATTACTTGCAACTGAATTAATATGATTGATAAGGTAATGGAATTTGAAAAGTTACCACAAATAAATTAATACATTAATTAATTTGCAAAATCCAAGGAGTTAAATCAGAGCAATGAATTTTCTTACATCATTAATTAAGAAAAGCCTAAAGACTTTAGGTGCGTGCATGTGGCGTAGTCTTCTAATTTTGTGTGGGTGGCGTGGCGCTCTAGATTTGCAAGATGCAGTTCTTGCGGTGGCCTATGGGAAAGGTAATTAGATTACATGATTGTCAAAATATTTTGACTATTATTCTCTAACCGTTGAATTTTTGGACATTTTAAAAAGTCTGAATTTTTGTTGAATGTTAAATTTACAAAAATTAATATTCATTTTGATTTTATGAAAACTCTTTTACTTATTTAGCATAATTTTTTTAAAATTTATTAACTATAAAATATTACTAGATGCGCGGATACGTCTGCACCTCAAGCATCTCGAGACAATTTAATTTTTTTTTTATTTTTAGTAATCGGCCTTGAGATAGAAAATCCTCCTAAAATCTGAGATAATCTGATTTTTATATCTTTTTGTACAGTTTTTCAATGGTCTTATCTGTATTAAAAAAGAAAAAAAGAAAACAGAGTTTGGAAGATACACCGGAATTCAGCATTACACCCCTGCTTTTCTATATATATATATATATATATATTCACACAGACAACGTGGCATTACATTCTTCTTGCAACAAATGATTTAAGTATATCCATCACACTATTAGTAACATTTAAGTTCAGCTAATTTTACACTTTTCTTATTACTGATAAAAACTTCGTTAAATTATTTGATTGGTCTACCCGTGTTAACTTTTTATTTAACTTTCATAATTTAAAAGTCTGCATTCAATTCTTATATTTCATAAATTTTTCTTAATCTGGTTCTTGCTATTGATTTTTTTATGTCAAAATGTTATGAGATTATTAGATTAATCAGATTTAGTTAAAAAGAGGGGAATGTTACGAAAGTTTAACGACAAATGCCACAGCAAGGTGAAGATGCAAAAGCCATCCAATGTTGCCTTGTTTACAAATCCCAAGAGTCCATAACTGAATAGAAAAGGCCACCAGAAGTGGCATTGGGTAAAATTAAAAATGTATTAAATTTCACATCAAGAAGTCACATTTGGGATGTATTGGAAGAGCTTTTCTGTATTTCGGATCCAAATTTGATTTCAACACACGCACACATACAGTGGAACGTGAACATGCCTGAATTAGGTAAATCAAAATTTAAATCCTTTATAAAAGAAATTCTGACTTTTAATATACAATTATATCTCAAATTTTTAATAGGTAAATGTATAAATTTAATCTTAAGCTATCTTTTAAAGAGTATCTAGCACCCTATTCTATAAAATAGTATAAAATAAATAATCAACTGTTAAAATTAGAACGTCCAATACCTCCTGTTAAATTTAAATAAACAAACGTTTACCTAATATTCTGAAACCTACTCAAATTGCATGAGTGGCAATATTTTCCTCAATCTCTTTGTCTACCTTATCTTACCCCTCCTCTCTCCGTATTTGTCTCTCTCTTTCTAAGTTAAAGGTAAACTATAGAAGACATATCTACTATAGTTAACAGTTAATGATGAGTTCTTTTTTAGCATAGCCAATCACTTACTGACTGTCATTGAAGTCAAAGCCACCTTCATCAAACCCTCCGACATTGCCACTCCCTAGGTATGAGCATCAGTTAATTTAACGTCAAAATGTGTAAAATATATCAATCAAACAATGCTAAAAATATGAACTGAGTTGAACCGAACAAGGATCAAATCAAAACTTGATGATCTGATTCAATTAGTTAATTTGATTTTTGGCTTCATGCTAGACTGTTTGGACCTAAACCAATTTTGTTATTTTTTATCCTATTAAAATAGACAAGATTTATATATAAAATTGGACTTATAAAGTGCTAGTAAGCCATTTTAATGAAGGACTAGATTTTCACCTTGTCAAATTATACATTTACTTTTATTTAACAATAAAATTAAAAATAATAAAATAAAATAAAGTAATTCATAAACTAAATATAATATAAATTAATAAATTATATATATATATATAAATATATATAGATACATACATGATAATTTGATCAGTTCAATCTATTTAATTTTAAATTTTACTAATTAAATCGAATCAACTGAAATATAAAACAAAATTAAATTAAACTAAACAAACCGAATAGACCAAATTAACTAACAAAAATTTAATTTGATTCAATTCTATTTTTTTTTTTTTTTACTCACCCCTACCACTCACTCAATTTTTTACTTTTTTAATAAGATACTAGTGCACGACAGCAAATATAAAAGAGGATTAAAAGGAAAAGACAAAATCGTCGCCGTGCACAAAGAGCCGCTCCGGCAAATATAGCACCTTAAGGCCTTAACTTGTGCAGAGTAACGCCTCTCTCTCCCGCCGACAATCATGCCCATGCAGAAATTAACAACCCAGCCAACATACTATAACATGAAAAACAAGTTCAGGTCTTACCCTAAAAAAAAATAATAATAAAAGAGAGAGAATGAGATTATATCCATGCAAATTGCGAAACTGTGGCCTCTTACCATCAATGCTATTGCCGTTAAATACTAACCTAACCTCTTTCTTTGTTCCTTAAACATTGATGCTCCACATCCACCACATCAAACTCTTCTGCTTTCCCCCCCTTAACAAATAGAGTAATGTTCTTGACCAAAGCCGTCATGAAAAGGGAAGAGTTCAGTTGACTTGCGAAGGACTGATAGAGTCAGCTGATGCCATTGGCTTTGCATTCCACTGAATAAAGCTGGCTTACACAAGAATGCAAAATATACACAACTTGGGAGAAGGAAAGAAAATGATTTCCAGTCAATTACATTACTATTTGAAAGAGCAGATAAATTATTACAAGAATTACTAAAGAACAAATAATTCTACAATTTGCAGACCGGGGAATCACAATTCCCCATCAGCCAAAAATGGATTATCCCATATCTCTTCACCTAGCGCAATTGAGCTTTTCTAGTGTATAATAAATCACTCTTTTCTCTTTCAAAACACTGATTGAGAAGGGAAAAAGAGGAAAACAAAAACTCTAAAGTCAAAATTTTCTACTTCTGACTCTACAGTGCTGCAACCACAGATCAAGAGTCCAAAATATCTGAGACAGCATAGTCCATCACCAGTCATAAGAAGTAGCATATTTCAACTTGTAGCACAATCTTGAAGATAAGGGTGGCTCTGATTTATGTACCTGTCCCAAAGTGGCCTATACCTGTCAATAGCCACCTTCAGCCATGGCTTCATGTTTCCGTTAAAGTGAATAACTGCAGCACTTTCAATCAGGCGGTTGTCAATATTTGGGTCATAACCTAATCCCAAAACATGCCATCTCCTATCAAGTGGCTCTGTCAGGCCATAGAAACTTAGAAGACCAGGAGGAAGGGTACCCACTTTCCACAATGTACCATCTGCATTCTGCTCCTGCCAATAGTGATATCTTGAAGTCACATTTGCCTTCCTCCATGCAACCAAGTCAAAAATGTTCATGCCAAATGCCCATCCACAAGCCTGGGGATCAAACTTTGAGCTTATAATTGGATTTGAGAAGTTGAGATATTTGTAGTAACGATGAAATGCTTCGAGACAAGTTTCAACTGCACCATTCACATTTCCATGTAAATCCAAGGAGAAGAGCAGGGTCAGATCCTTCTGGACAACAACATCATCGTCTAGGAAAACAACCTTCTCCAGTTGTGGATAGATCTCAGGGATGTAAAACCGGAGATGGTTCAGTAAAAACAAATACTTAGGGTTTCTCATTTTTGGTTCAACTTCATTTAGATCCCTATAACCACCAAAATAGAAGGCTTGTGAGTCTGCACTAAGAAGCTGCTTGACAATAGGAGAATATGACGCATTCAACCAATGGAACTCCTCAATTTTCTGCACTTCTACAGTGGCCCCTTTAAAGTCATTATTGAGGAACCATGATTGCATTGCCCCATAATTGACACCATTGGTAACAATGTGGAAGACCAACTGTTTTGGATGGTCTGCATTGGAGACAGTTGAGTTAACAACTACAGATGTGGCCAACATATTATCTGAAAATATGCAAAAATGATACAGATTGTTGTCCATGAGACGGGGGGAGTTTCTCTTCTCATGTGAGAGTTCTTGCAGGGATGGCTTCTTTAACCAGTCAAACATAAGTTTGATATTTAGGCAATGAAGACTCTTGGGCAGAGCTTCAGCCGCTAGTTGACCAAATACAGTACTTTGAACTGTTGCGCATTTGCACGCTCTTCAAGAGCTTGAATATGTGATTTCATTGTCATGATTGTGGTTGCAATGTCATAATGGAGATCTTGTGCCTTAAATATTAGAGATGACAGGCTTGTGATGATTGGTCCAGCTTCTTCCAGTGTCACAGGCTTCCCTGTCATAGCAGCTCTTGAAAGCAAAAGCTGGCAACTCCTGATTTTGGAGCTGAGCTCCCAGGCTAGGTGAAGGCTATTGTGCTCTTTGGCAATAATTACATACGCCTTAGCTAGAGTCATTTGCTCAGCTAACTGCCGTGAATATGAGGTTGCGCTTAATATTTCTTCTGTAAAATTCAAACTCCTCTTAGTGACATGTCCACCTCGGGCATATCTTTCCTGAAAAGATGGTTACTTTTTCAGTAAATATTAAGACTGAAGGGGAGAAGGGACTAATTATCAAACATGAAACACGTCAAAAGAGAGAAATACTAATAATTCACTCTTATGGACTGCAAAAACATAGTTTCGCAATTTGATATGAACTGTTGTCTGAGTTCCATGCTTATCATTGAAAAGGCTATTTGTTTTTTCATTATCCATGACAAGAGGCCTCTTGACCGTTGGCACCCTTTCTTTTCCACCCCATAGATTATGAATGCATAATAAAACATGTTTACTACTTCACGTTGATGCTTCAAATGACCAAGCATTGAACACTGCGGTAAAATGTCATCAACTAGATTAAGGATGCAATTCCATTGTCATGGCACTTATTGATATAGAAGCCACTATGTAAATTTGGCCAAAAAACTAACGAATAAAGCATATGACATAGTAAGGACTCAAACTGATTTAAAAAATAAGGGAAAGGGTTAAATCTATTAAGAAAAGACACAGCAACTATCTCACTCTAGGTGTTCTTAACAGCCAGAGACTCAAGGAGAATCTCCAAAAGGGATAAAACTGAATTTTACTTCTGAATGACTAGCTTCTGAAGTTGCTAGCCTATTTATAGATCTGGAGATACATTAAAATGATATAAAATCGGAAAAATCTCCTAAAATATCTGAACAGACTCGATCATCTCTGAAATAACAAACTAGAATGCTGGAACCACTCTAACAGTCATAATGGTCCACTTATTCAGCTGGCTAACTCAAAAAGAATTAAAACAAAACAATGCAGCAACTAACAATGAGAAAATAAAATAAAATATGACTAATTTAATTCATAACAGAATCAGCTTCAGCTATTTCCCTCCTCTTTCATCTCTGGTAGCTAACTAATGGTGGGCTAGGCTCACTTGGTCTTTTATCAGTTTCATTATTTTCTCGAGGGCAACAAACAGATTATTATTGAAGGAAAAAGAAGGGGGAAATGGCTATTGAAAGCAGGTGACTAACTTTGATGGCAGGAGAAATGAAGGAAGACAACCACAGTCTATGCGGAGGTGACAATAGCATAAAAACTACTATAGACTCAGTATTATGAATAGTGCGGTTTGCAAAGTCTAAACATGTTTGCTTTTCAACTACACGTTTTCCATTGGTTTTCACAAAGTCTAAAAGATAAGTCAGACAATTCGTGGTTTACAAAGATTATGGATGGCTAAAGATTTTATATTATATATATGGATATATATTGATGATAATTATAAATTGCAAGTATTTTTCTTTTGCCACCTTCTGCGGTAACAAGGACATGCTAGAGGGTACCAAATACAACTAAATTTGAATTTTTATGCTAAACAAAAGTTGTTATGACTTATGAGGTAGGAAAGAGAACCAATGAGCAAGCCAAAGCACTCACAGTAAACAATACTTCATCCTGAAATTTCAACGGAAATTGACCTCTTAAATATCTTCAAATTAAATTATCACTAAGTTAACCAAAACAATGCACACGTTAGACAACAATCAATGTCAATTCAACTAGTGACAGCTAGACCACAGCCCAAAACGCACCACTGCAGCAAGTTACAATCAAGATTGAAATTGCAAATTAAATTTGATCTGCAAAATGCAGACTTTAGCCTCAGTGTGAGCTTAGTGCACTTCAATTAATTCAGAACATTTGAATAAATACCAAAGGTTTTCTTCTGATTTGCATGGATGAAAGAAACAAAAATTCCTCTTACATCGTTCAAAATGGAAAAAAATGTCAAAGATGGGCAAATAGCTAGAGGTCTAAAGAGGTTGCACTAAGAAAAGCATTCCCGTTCTTTCCACCAGCTAGACCTACTTCACCTTCCCTTCTGTGGTAGTTTGAGCAACCTCATTCAGATTTATTAATTGCACTAAGAAAAGCATTAGATTTATTGATTCAAACAATATGATTAATAGCATTAGAATCCTGAAAGGAGCACCATGAAAACCAGTACAATCGTATCAATAGAATTGACTGAACTACAATGCCATTCAGGCAGCATGTACTTCCTACTTCAATCATTATGGTGTTCTACAATCCAATGAGCATCTCCAGGATCCTATTGCATTGAATGAGTAACAAATCCAATGAAAAACATGCATCAGGAAACAGAAAGGTCCACAGTTCTTACCTGCACTGGATATTCGACTTGATCTTCTTCATGATTGTGCTGTACAACAAACAAAACCAGGCCAGCAATACAGAACAGACCAAGAAGCACCCAGATCCAATAAGAAAACCTCCGTCGAACCGGGCGCCGATACTCGGCCGCCCGTCGTCGCATTTTTCAATGATCCCGTCCACAATTCACCACCAAATCAGGAAATAAGACCGAACCAAATTTCATATCAGATCAGAAATCCATCATAAGGAAAGGGTTTTTTTTATGGTTTTGGTGCACTAGGCTATAACCCCAATATTCACCTTCATCATCATCATCTGAGTGGAGACAACTTGATTTTTCCTTAGTAAGCCAATAGATTCAGGCCACTCTTCTAAGCCACTGAAGAGTGACAATTTAAACAGAAGCTTGTCAATTGTTAGACACAACACGAGCAAAGCCATTTATCAGATCATGCATCACAAACAAATACCTTGAGAATTTTCTAAATTGATGATGATATAAAGAGACTCATAAACAGAATATCAATACGCAACAAATCGAGCATTGCACAACAAAACATTCCAAAGCATATAAGTCGCTAGTAAACAAAATGAACAGGGCAGAAATATAACAGCCGATTACACACCATTGAAGCGAAAACTTGTAATCAAAGTTTTTTTCCCCCTTTTACAAAAAGAGTAAACTCAATCTTTATTCAAAAGGAACAATATTCAAACGATTACACGACCAGATTCAAAGCCAAATTAAAATGAAAAATTTCAAACGAAGCAAGAAACAGTGCACCAGCGTCCGACACGGGGTTGACAACTACGAAGGGGAGAGATGACGCGGGGAACAAACTCAAATCTAGATTCAAAGCCAGATTGAACAAATCAATCTCATCGGATTTGGCAGTAGACAAAGCCCTAGGATTCGAACCTTCTTCAACACTTGCCCGAGAACAACCACGCAGGGCTGATTGCGGTGAACGGCCTCCGAAGACGAGCTGGACCAAGTGTGGAATGCTTGTTCGTTGACAGAAAAATGCATCCGCTACAAACTAGACGAGATCGTGTTTTGTGTGTGTGTGTGTGTGTGTGTGCGTGTTTTTTTTTTTCTTTTCTTTTGTGTGTGTGTGTGTGTGTGTGTGGGGCCAGGTCGTGGTTTTGTCGGGTTATAATTAATTTTAGGAAGAATTATGGCAGCAAATAAAAAAATTACTTACCTCAAATAATAAATTCTTTTTGTTAATTTATAGTAAAGGCATTATTATCTTTTTTTTATTACATTATTTTTTTGATTTTTTTACATATCTATGTGATATCCCATACAACTAATTTTGTCTGTGTTTGTCTGCTCAAACTAGGTGTCGTTTTTAAAGACATCTCTTTCTTTTTTACTAATTTTTTTAAAAAATTTTGTCATATCAAATATATTTTTAAAATTTATTTTCATTTTCTCATTCTCATTTCTTTAAATTCTTAACAAAATAAATAAGACCTTGGCCTTTTACTATATCATGTTGGATAAATCAAGAAGAAATCGACTGAATAAAGTATATTATTTAGTATATTAGTATTTATATACAATTTTATAATTTAGTATTTTTTTTCCTAGATTCCTTCCATGCTATACATGACATCTTGCTAAAAAAAAAATGCTATATATGATATCAAATTCAAGATAGGAATGTAAACAAGTATTGTAAACTCAAATTGTAAACACATAAAAGTTTATTTTTATTAACAAATAATTATTAAAATATAATTATAATTTAATTTAAATATATTTAAAATATAAATTATTAAAATTAAATCTATCTACATTGATAGTTATTATATACAAAATATAAAAATTTTAAAACAGGATAACTTATTTTTGATATTTTAGTTTTTGTATTAATGTTAGTGTTTGTATTTCAATTTTTTTCCCTTGGACCAAGTTTTATGACTTTTTATGAACTAAATTTTTATAATATATATTTAATTCGTTCAATTAAAAAAAATTTGATGAGCTTAACAGATTTAACTAATTTATATCTAATTTAAATTTATGAATTAATTGACATGATCTTATAAATTAAAAAAGTAAAAATAATAAATTCAAGTATAAGTTCACGAGTTTAACTAAATTTATATCTAATCTGATTTTATAAGTAAGTTGACATAATTTTATAAATTATAAATACAAAAATATTAAATTTAGAAACTCAACTTAAGTATTTGACAACTATAGATGACATCTCTATATACTAATTAAAGTTTCTTCCTGAAAATCCCTTAAAACATTTATACTTAAATAAAAACCTAAGTGTCTAATGTTCACCACAACATTTATATGTAATAACTATATCGCTAACAAATATTATTTTTTTATAAAATAAACAGACCTCATTTCATAAATAGTTATATAATTATAAGTATCTACAAGGGCTTTTCAATATTTTCGTATTTATTCTTTCTTTTTTTATAAAATAAAGTTTAGATGAGTTGATTTTTAAAAAGTCATGAGAATAAATTCATGCTTTAAATTTAAAAAGTATTGATAGAAATATTTACAAACTATCTATCAATAAAATTTTCACATTAATGTTAACATTTGATCTATAAATTATAAGCCAAATCATTTACTGATTAGATTAACTTTGATTTATGACACTGTCGTGTTAGCCCGTGGGTGTTCGTTTTCATATTCCTCACAATTCACTTGTATGTTTTTGTCTACTCTTTCAATCTGGGCCTCAACGTATTTCATGCTGTCTTAATTTAAATTGAACACCTCGACAGATGTTTTAATTGGATCAGAAGGCCCTACTTGTTTACCAAAAAGCCTCCTTTTTGCAATTAGCCCATGGAACCCTTGATTGATAGTTTTGGGCCACCTCTTTTCCTCACACAACAAGCATGATTAAACACTACTCTTTCAAATTCACCATATTGTACAATGCAATGCTAACAACTCTAGTTTTTATAAATTGTCATCTTCTAAATAATTTTATATCTTTTCAATTTTAATCTTGAGTGAAACAAATATTTATATTTAAATATTTGATAGCTTTAAAATACCCTCCTTGATTACAAGCACTACATATTGTACTGTATTTTGGACTAAACAGAGTTGCTAAAAGCTTTCCTATATATTAGGTAGAATGGATTTTTTTTTTTTTTGGAAAAATTACTCACTGCTATTCTGTAAGATGTTGATTTTGAAATTTTAGTGACTACTATAATCATTTGATGTTTAGGTTTGATGGGCAACTATTAAATCTACTGTTCAGGTCAAAAAATAAATCTGCTTGTTAACTGTTATATTAGCATCATTAACCAAGAAGTGTCAAGACGCGGAATGTAACTTAATACATATAATCACCCACGCAGCATGCTTAGGTGAAATGCTGCTACTTGTTACTATATAGTTATAGGGAAAATTTCGACACACGACCTTGTCACTTTGGAAAGGTCTTTGGCGTCACTATAGCACCTGGCCACTAGCAAATCATGCAAAATTGTCACGGATTTTATTGAGGATTCTTATATTTAGATTGTTAAAAATAAAACTGAGTACAACTTATATACAAAGGAATAGTTAAAGTAGTTATAAGATTCTCTTCATTATCAAATTAGCAATCCCCTAGTGTGATGGCAGACGAGACTCTGAAATAATCAAATATTCACGGCACACACCCAATCCAGCTCAAAAAGAATATAAAATGGTTATTTTAATTATATTTAACGGTTTTAAATTATTAAGCAATCTAGCACTAAATATTCTTGAAACTTTTATTCAATGATTTTTAATCATTGAATATTCTCACTTTATTCAATGGTTTTTTATAAAAAAAATCATTGAATATTTGTTTTATGGAATTAACAATATTCAACAATTTGAAAGAATCATTGAATATTATGAAATATTTAATGATTCTGGCCTCAGAACTGCTAAATAGTTTGCAATATAAAACAGTTGTATGGTACAATCATTTTATATTTGTTCAATATAAAAATGTTCAATAATTTTTTTTCATAACCATTGAATATTATAATCAAATATTTTAAAATGGGGGGTTTCATTTCTAGCAACTTCTGCATTATAAATTATATAATTATATTCTAGCACTTAGAAACAAATTTCACTAACAATTATCATACATGTACATGAATATATAATAAATTCAAAATTTAATGACAATAAAATGCTTTTCCAAGTAAAATCAATAAAATAAATATTTTCTCAAAAAAAGTAAGATTGTTTGAAAGATGCACACAGAAATGCTACAATTAGCAATTTGGTAGATGAGGAAGAAATTTGTATACTATCATGAAAATACTCTTGACACACTTAGCTTTACTCTTTTTCTTGGCCTAGCAATGAGGAAAAAGCTTCTTTTTTTTTTTGGGCTTGCTCCTTTACTAATTTTTTTTTCCATTCAACTTGAGCTTTATTCTCCTCTTCCAAATCAAAAGCTATTCTTTCCCTTTTCAGTTCGATCTATCCCAAAAAAGTAATATAAATTAAGTAATTTTTATATAAATTGAGAATACTATTGAATCCACGAACAATAGCGGCAATTATGTCCTTGGTAAAACTTTGATATATTTGAAATGTGTTATAATCTTTGTGAAAATTTAATCTGCAATGCATAATGTGTAAAAAAAATAAAGAAAAACACAAATGAAAATACTTTGAAGGCACAAATAAACATCTCAAATTCTTTTATATATGAATTAAAAAAACAACCTTTTATGCACTCAGAGCAACCCACAACAAGAATGGTTAGGAGAAGAGAAATCATGAATGGAATGGAAGAGGAGGATGAAGCTAGGAAGAATAAGAGGAAGACGAAGAGATGAAGATGCCACAAGACCCACGAATGAACAATTCCATGGCGGTGCAAGGAGAAATCAACAACAGCAACCCAAAAATGACATTTCAAGTAGAGGAATGGTGGATTTGGTTGGAAATACAATCTCAAAGCTCGAGGAAGGAGTTCGATGAGAGTATTTGAATTTTTAAAGAGAAAAAATAAGTTTCACATAACTTTAAATAAATAATTCAAGAAAAATCTAAAACAATTTAAAAAACATTATTTAATAGTTGTTGAGAAACAATCACTGAATAAACAATATTAATGATTGTTATAAAAGAATCGTTTAGTATTTAAATTCTTTACTCAACGATTATTTATAAACAATTGTTGAATATTAATAAAATTTTAAAAAATAATAAAAATAAAATAATACTCAACGATTATGTCACATAATCGTTGAGTATTGTGATGCATTGTTCGACGGTTTTATTAAAAACTGTTGAAAATTTGAATTTTAAATTTCTCCCTATATATATAAATAAATTTCTTTTGAATTCTTGAATAAATGGTGTCACATATTGTCATTTTTTTGTAGTGTCATTTTATTTATTGATTATGTATTTATTTAATGTTAATTATTACCATGACATGTTTTTGAAAATAAGATGGTAACATTTTTGCATAGCAATAATTAATTGAATAATATATTTAATTCAGTGCCTCAATATTTAATTTAATATGACAACTAGCAATCCACTGCTAAATACAATAGACAACTAAATACATAAAAAAGATTGCTCATGAGTGGAAAGAGGTATACTCAAAAAAGATATGGAGTGAATCCTTGAAACGGTGATGAATATATTTGGTTGGAATCCAACCCGAATCCTCTAAAAACCTGGTCATATATTTCACTACTATCCAAACCACTCACTCAAACTTATCACGTCTTCACATTTACGTGCATATATTATATAAATAATCTCCTTTCCATCATATTAAATGTTGCTCCAGAGGAATGTGTGCGCGTGCGTGTATATATGTATATGCGCCTTTCAATTTATACAGTATACATGTGAAGATAGCGCTCGAGCACTTTCAATCACTGATGGGCGGAAGCATCCACGAGGGAAGCAACGGGCTAGCTACAGCCTGGTCCTGGTCCTGAGCCATCGTTCCTTCTTTATGTCCTCCACCACCACTTGCTTCTAGGGATCCTCTGCATCAAATGAAATGCACAGATTGAAGGCTTAAATCACAAGTAAAATAAACGCCGAGTAAATTTACATCATTTCGTGTCCTCTTCAACAATTTCATGGCGTCTGGCAAATTTTGAGGATTGCTTGCGGAAGGAGACTAACCCAATGTTTGAGGGTACGAGGATATCATTGTGCTCGTGATCGTCCTTTTCCTCACGTGCCTGTTCCAACATGGCCTTCTCTTTCTCCTTTATCTATCCATTTCATCACCAACTTCATGATACGTAAAGATATAGATATAGATATAGATATATATAGATAAATACTTAATTTAAAGCTTTGGAAACTGGAGATTTTAACTACCTTCTTAGCCAGCAAGTTGTTTTGTTCCTGGAGTTTCTTATCCTGCTTATTGTAAAACACAAGTATTAGTCGCTATACGCTAAGACCTCGACAACTTATAACAACGTCTAGCTAGTCAAATATAGTTTTGAAAACGTGCATGGTGAAGTAAGGCTCACCTTTTTCTGGTACTCTGAAATTGATTCATACATGAGTTGGTTCTGCAAATTCCAGGGAACAGATAAATAAATTCACTGTACATATGTATGACAACCAGATCAAACAACAGTATTGTCAATCACTCAATTGTTAAGGGAGAGAGCTTAATTTTTACATGATTTTAGTCGTACCTTGCGTGTTCTGATATGTTTGAGAGCATTATCTAGCTGATGCTCCACATTCTGGAGCTCCTTGAGACTCAGGCCTTCCAGATCTTCTCCCTTATAATGCCTAGGAAAACGAAGAAGAAGAAGAAGAAATCAGCTGCTTTGTTGCGTCTTTTCATAATCATACAGGTTCTTAATCCCTTACTTTAGATTTCTTTGCAGGACCTCCATCCTAGCCTTAAGCTTTGCGTGCTCTAAAGTCCAGTTTTCCTGACAGCACGAAGATATATGTATAATATTCACAATATATATATATATATATATATCAGCATATTTACAGGAACGTTTCATATCCAGCAGATTTTTGAGTTGCAATACAAAGGAGGAGGAGATATTCAATTGAATAATGGGATGCTGAGCTGGAGAGATTGAAGACGTGGCTGGAAAGTTTGAGCCTTTACTTGTTGGATATAAGCTTATGTGATCACAAAAAATTACCTTAAACAACTCCCGCTAGAGATTAAGATTAAATGGGTGAAGAACCTGAGTTTGCAAAGAGCACAAGCTCTGAATAGCATCAGTATCATTAATATGGGGTCAAAATGTATTCATTATACTTTAAACTAAGCTTAAAGTTAATTCTCATTCATTCGTTAACATTTTAATATATTCTCATTCTAATTTTATTATTCATCTCACAACTTGAGAAAACATGAACGGAGTCAGCCACGATTTAAGTACCTAATCCAACTCTGAATTGTCAATATATGAAAAGGCGTCGATAAAGAATTGTCAGCTTCATTTCACACAAATGGCAAATAAACAAAAAGAATGAGTAGTGTAGAGGGGTTAATTTGGAAGAGGAAGAAGACGTACAGTTGGTGAACGATCAGGTGCAACTAGCTGCTTTTCTGCATATGAATACCTCTCATAGCGTTCAAGAATTTTTTCCATGCTGTTCCCACAAATAAATTAACAGTAAGCCAGTTAGCATATACATATATATATATATACACGCACGCATGGCACCATTCGGAAACATGCAATTAAAACCATGCACACTCACAGTCACAATACTTTTCCTATATTATTTACTGTTTATTTAGTCATGCCATGTTCTGTATGTCAAGAAGATCATCCTCAACTCACATTTCTGACGTTGTGATTAATCCTTACAAAGACATGACATAATCCATCTTAGTATCTATGGAAATAAGGAAGCTAAAGAAATAGAAAAGACATTAAAAAAAACAAAAGAAAAGAGAGAAGGAGAAGAAAAGGAAGAAGAAGTTGAATAGACAAGAGACTTCTAAGATTAAAAAAAAGTATAAGCCCAGACAAAAAGAAAAAAAGAGAAAAAAAGAGTAAAAAGAATATTAAAATATAAAAAAGGACAAATGGATATATAAGTTTATGAAATATCTAACCAAAATAGCTTAAATTATTTTGATAGAATATATTATATTTAAGCATACTTAATATAAAAAATCTAACATTTCTTTCTTTCTTCCTAACTCACAGGCACATGTGTAAAAGCCTAGGACACTTATAAGCAAAAAGCTAATTATAAGTTAACGCTATCATAAATTTCCATATATTTTGGCACGCTGGCGCAAGGTATTCAAAAAGTATATAGTAAAACCCAGATATGCTAACTTATTGATTAATTACCTGCTCAAACTTTCAGCTTTATGAAATGCAAAGCCTCTCGCTTAACTGAATTAAGTACTTGATAGAATCTAATTATCAGAAAATGTAATTCTAGATTTTACTTCTCTCAATCCATTGTTCTTGATAATTGCATCTTTGGAGCATCCCATCATTCAATGGATGTAGGATTAATCTCGCTTGGGAGACTGACGCAATCTCTGAGCACAATTTTTTTTTTTTAATTAACTTGAATCATGGAATTGACATCACAAAATCTCCTCGCCACTTAAGCCCTTGGCACTAGACCTACTCCTCCTAACTAAGAGAATGCATTATTGGTTAATTAATGTCAATATTTAAACATATTACATATTGAAAAACCAAGTAATTTACAACTTTAAATGGCTCGCAGTCTATATGGGGAGAAAAATACCAAGCCCATATATTAAGTATATTTACTCTATATCTTGTGGTAGCAACCATGAGATCTTACAGACTTGAGAGGTTTTCAATTTCTATGTCTCGTAAGGAATTGAAGATATATGCATAGCCTATCCCGTCCTCTCTTCCTTTTCATTCATCTGAACTAACCATAAGTAGCCTAGCAAAAAATTCAATAACTTTCATCTTTCCTTTATGCATAGACGAGGAGTACAGCTAATCCTTTCCTAGGACTTCAAAAAATAATTGTTCATTAATGCACGAATAAATTAAAGTACTTTTTTTGCCGAATTAAATATTTCTTTGTTATATTATGAAGGTTCATTCAATCTCATTCTATCCTTTATACATGAAAGATTAAATATTCAATAATAGATCCCTAAAATATTTTGTCACATTCAGTTTTCCTGTAAGGTATTTACTGACTTATAATTCCAAAATGATAACTATTTCTAACTATGAGTCATATTTTAAGAAGATTACCGTCAAATAAAAATTAATATTTTTACAAAAAAATTTAAACTTTTGATCATATGCAAGGAATTGAAAATAATTATTATATTCAAGGTTGTTCGATTTAAAATTTTTAAAACCCAAGTCTACGCGTGCATGTTATATTGTCCCCTCAAACGAAAACACTAGTGAAAGGATAGTTCCAAGCAGGTTGGAATCATGAAGGAGAAGGATTCCGAGGTGTACGGACGGTACAGAAATTTTATGGTGCTATTGATATGTGATGCGAGTGTGTTTTTTGGCGAGTTGGAATGGCGCGGCACCAACAACACATGCGAACATACGATCAAAGAAAAAATAATTGATGTCCCTTCAACTTCGATTGGCGTCATTTAAAAAAAAAGAAGAATCATGTCTTTTCTGCTTTTTTCACGGCTTTGTGCCTGTGATTTTGACTCTGCTACTGTGTGTGTTCCACCGCAGTTTTGTTTCTTATTTACAGGCAAACAACAAATGTTATATTTAGATACACACACACACCTGAACAAATTATTTTCCGTTAAGAAAATGAGTTCTCATGACAGCACCAGTCCCATTGAAAGACACCTATACGATGATAAACCTATTAAAGGAGTATCTCTGTGTCCGTCCGTACTCTAAAACAAATCCGCCAAACCCATATACCAACGTAAATGCCCTCTTTCTTTGTGTAAGAGAATCAGAAAGAAGAAGACCAAAAACAATTTTTGGGAGGCGGGTTTTAATTCAAGTTTATGCAAAGATATATACAACAATACAGCTCAGCAGCTGCATGCCGGGCATATCTGTACAAGAGACAAAAGATCTCGCCAAGAAAATCCAATGACACGCACATATATAGGTATATACACATGAAATTAATGGTTGATAATTACTCCATCAAAATCAAAGTCTCATTCACATGAATGAATTAACGTAAACACGAGCACCCAGAAGATAAGGCACGATAGGAAAATATTGGAGGAGAGAAATAGATCGAGAGTAGAGATAATTGAGAAAAGATAGGAGCGAGCGAGGAAGAAAGAGGAAGAAGGAAAGTAGGGTTTAAGTAGGGTACCAGGGGTCGCTGGAGTAGTGAGAGAGCTTGCCCTTGGTGGAGAAGACGATGAGAGCAACCTCGGCATCGCAAAGGACAGAGATCTCGTGGGCTTTCTTCTGCAAACCAGACCTTCTCTTCGAGAAAGTCACTTGCCTGTTGATCTTGTTCTCGATCCTCTTCAACTGTACTCTTCCCCTCCCCATGATCTCTCTCAACACACAGCCAGCTAATCAATCAACACACAGTCACACATCCAAATCGTCTCATATATACCTGTGCGTTCGTGTTGTTGTGTGTGCGTGTATACAGATATATTAGAGCGCGCGCGCATGTGTCTGTGTGGGTGCATATCGGTATTAACTCACCTGGACTGCGATGTTCCTTTCTTATTGCTGATGAGGGATTGTATTGCGTGTCGATCACGTTGTGACTGAGAATCGAGAGGGAGGAGAGAAGAGAGGAGCGAGTGTGGTTCTGGGATTGTACGGGAGAAAACACTGATGCGTTGATCTATGATGGGCGTTAAGAACTCAAGATAAAAAAATAATAATTAAATAAGAGGGGAAAATGGGGAAGAAATGACAAAAAGGAGGTAGGAAACCGGAGGGGAAAAGAGGTGGTTTTTGAAAACCAGAATGGTCTTAGGCGGAAAACGTTGTCGACTGCGGATTGGCTACACGTTCTGTCATGACAGTCCGTTACTGTCTGGGCCCCACTCCCACTCCCACTCCCACTCCCATTCCTCTCCTTCCTCCATTTTTATCTTCTTCTTAATGCTAATCACTCAATTATTACTGCTACTTACCACTAATATACCTACTTGCTCAACTTGCGTGTCTTTTCTCTTGTCCTCTTCTTTATCCCCAAACATTTCATATTATCACTTATTCCGACTTCCTTAATCCCATCTAACTTCAACATTGTCGCTCTGTTTTCCTTAAACCTAATTATTAGATTGTTGGACTTAAATTCTTTAACGTTGATATTTTCCAATTTTTATAAAATTTTATAGTATTTTTTCATATTATTATTTTTTATAAAATATAATTTTTTTCTGTTTAAAAAAATGAACTTCATGAAATTCGCACATGATAATACATTTTCTATATTATTAGATATTTCATACAAGTCTTGAAATTCACTTGACTTCGTTAATTTGTACTTCAAATATTCAGGATATTGTTAAATGGTGCGGCGCACTGCAATGCGTGCAAGACGAAGAAGTAGAACCACAGAAGTTTGGAAATTTGAGACAGCGGAACCATTTTATTTTAATTAATATATATATTATAAAATTAGAGTGAATAGAAATTTGTCCACATCGGAACTCATGATTTTTTATTTTTGTGGTGATTTTTTTGGATAACAGCGCTGCTCGGTTTAATTTCTTCTATCTTTATCTCACGAAATATTCCATCACTGCTGCGGTCTGCTGGCACTATAAATACGAAATTTAACAAACAAATTAAATTAAATGATTACATTAGAAGAAAATGAGAAAAAGTCGAGTCAATAATCACGAATAACTATCATATTTCACATGTGTGTCTACATGGATGAATAAATTTATCTTCGTAGGAAATTCGTGAGAAAAACTTTTTGGATTGTGTTAAATCGGGAATCAAAACAGTAAGAAGAAATATTGATTTATCCTATTGTTGGTGTTACATGACTTAAGTTCAAGATGTAATTTGTTCATTGATCCTATTTTTTGATACTCATTTTTTAAACTGTTTTACTCTAAAAATTATATAAAATTTACACTGATTAAATTCAATCTATTGATTTAATGTGGCAATTTTTTTATTACTCAGAGACATATGTGTCACGTTCTATTTACAGATTAAACCCAAGAAAAATTTACCGTAATATTTTTTCGTCCAGAGTTAGTTAGCAAATGACGTGGTGCATGTTGCGGAGCTTATAATAAAGTCTATCTAAAGGGTGGAAGTTCGTGACGAAAAAGCGGGGGATGGACAAAATAAGAGTTGATAATTGATTGCTAAAAATATATTGAGATGATTAAGATTTTATCTATTTAACGTACATTATATACAACGTAAATGTCAAATGAATATCTCACAGGTTTTGTCATGCAGGGCTTGGCTCGTTAATTAGTTTAACATTGATTCAGCAACTAGCTAGGCTGGATGAGGCTGGTTGGAATTTGTTAAAAGATGTGAATACGTGATGCTAAAAAAATGCCACGATTGAATCATTCAAGGCATCGACTAATTCAACATTGAACCTTTTAATCCGAGGCTATTGTACCTTTAATCCTTTTTATATTCAATCTTTGCATTTTAAATATATAGTTTTCCACCATGATCTATCTTTGCATATGTCCTGGAAGAAGTTTAACCACACATGTTTTCCCATATGTTACATATCAAATTGTACAGTTTGATATAAATTATATTTCATATACTGATATATTGATTTTTGTGTATACACTCAACAATTGGCTGCACCAAATTATTATAATATCTAAACGTTAGATACACAATGGTACGCTAAAAATCGGTTATTCAGTATTTATTACTTTCTCCATCCTAAATTAAAAAATAATTTTAAAAACATTTCATTACTTTAAAATATAAAATAATTTAAAAAATAAGTATTACAATTCAAGTGGAGAGATGATTAAATTAAATTAATATTGTAGTAAGATAATTAATTGTGTAGTGACATTTTTAAAAGTTTATAATTTTATATTAAAAGAATAAATTTGTAAGGTGTCTTATTAAATTTTATTTATATGTGTAATCTTATAACAAATTATCTTGTAACTTGTGATGGGAGCGGGTTATATCATTTGGGATTTTTTTTCTCTTTCATTTTAACAGTGAAGAAAGAAAGGGAATGGAGGGCGCTCAACAGTCAGCATCCTATAGGGTATAGGCTTTAACGGGGAAAAGGACATACAAAAACTTAATTTTGGAAAATGAGACGAATCAGTGAAGGGCTAAAGACCTAAAATTAAACTTAAAAGGCCTTTAGTTACACTAGACGGTAAAGGATGAAAATCAAATGAATTAAAAAATTTGAATAAAAATGAACTATATTATCTTTGTCTTCCCTTATGAACATGATTTACTTCTCACCCACATCTTAATCATTTTTTTTCTTTAATCCACTTCATTCATATCTCTTCAGTAGTAAGATGATCCCTTGTTAGATTAGGGGTTTAGATAGGTTCAGGTATTGTTTCAGTAATGATGTATCTAATTTTTATATAAACAATCACCCCGTTTTGAAAAGTACTAAAGATATTGGAGATTTACTTATGCGTGTGCTTGAGAATAATTTACCATTTATAATTTATAATTTATAATTAGATCCATAAAAAAAGTAAATGACTGTGCAAATTGGCTGGTGCACGAAATTAAACTTACAACACCACGGTGGAGTTGGCCATTATCGAATTAAAAAAACTTAATTCTGTGTTTGGAAGAGAATATTTAGATTTAGATTTAAGCAAAGTTCATTATTTTTGGATTTGATCAAAATATAAAGTAAATTTAATTATTATATTTTAAAAATACTTTAAATACAGGCTGAAATCTAGTTATTTCAAATCTACATAATTATAACTACTGTTAGTGCTAATAGCTCGTTTGGTAGAGTGGAATTGGAATGGAAGAAGTGAAAGTAAAACTCTAAAAATTAAATGTTTGGTCCGCTGTAGTTCTCCTCTCAAGAGAAGCCAATTCCATCAAAAACGGCAGAATTCAGTACCTTGCCCATACCTATGGAATTCAGTTCCTCCATTACTACCTTCCTCATTTTCCATCCTTGCCCCCAAGGTTTTCTTGCCATGTTTGAGTTTAACTAAGATGTATGTAGGTGTGTTCACTGTCAACCATTGACGGCGACACCATGGAGGACATGACGGTGTGGTAGGCATTGGTTGGAGGCGAGATCTCTAACTTCATGAGCGGCAGCGAAGCATTGATTGTTTCCTCCTCAGTGGTCTTTCTATCTGCTCAACTTTTTTAATCTTAGCTTCTCCCTTCATGTAAACACCAATGACGAGCATCCTTTTCCCCTCCTCTTCTAGCACAGCTTTCTCCTCCACCTTCTTCAATCTCAACTCGTGCTTTTGATTTCAAACTCAATAATGGTGGATCTCACTTGGTAAATGGCAAGAATGATGTCAAACGGGGATGACTTGTTTGTTGATTTGGAATGTTGGATTTCAATTTCAAATGCTAGCTTCTTCAATTTTGATATTGAGCCTTTTCTACGATGATGTTCATGGTGATTGTACTCGACAGGGGAAGGGATTTTTTTTAGTTGGGGGGACATTTTGGTATTTTTATGTTATAAATATATTTTTCAATTAAAAATTATATCCATTTCCATGTGCATATTGCAAACATGTTTTAAAATCTCACTTCCTGTAACACTTCTATCAAATACTTTTTCATATTATCAAATGAGTCATAAAACTTCCATGACATTATAGTTGAAACTTGAAATTTTTGATATCATCTAAATAAAATATTTTAAATCTAAAGTTGAAATTCAAGTTTGTCTATTTAAATTTTTTCTTTAAAAAATCGAGATAAAAAAATCAAATTTATTGACAAAAGATGGGTGGTTTATTTAATTTAAAGCAGATGTTTGATTTTGCCAGGGTTAATTTTAAGTGAAATTCATTTCATAAAATCTCTATTCCTGATAATAAACTAAAGCTAAATTTGTCGCCAATGGAACTATGTGCTCGGCATACAAAACATGGAGACAGATTAGTGATGAAATCACTTTATTGTACTGTCACTCAATCTCAACTGCAGAGGTTTTTCCTAATGAATGGATTTTATAAAAGCACAACACCATATTTGCAAGACTAGTAGACTATCACACATGCGAGCGCAACAGGTACACCAGAGGCTTGCTAATACAGTTTATTTTAATTAGTGTTTTGTTAAAAAAAATATATTTATACTACACGTTATTTCATTTGAACTGCAATATAAATCATTATTAATTAATTCACAGTTTATTAACAATATTAAAAAAATTTTAAATTTTTAAAAATACTCACATCTTTTCATTTATACTTTCATTAAATATTCTTTATAAGAACTTTGATAACAATAATTAAAATTTTAATATATAATTTTTTTAAAATGAATAATAAATAAAATATAGATATAATTAAAAAATAAATATAAAAATTATTTAATACCTCATATTTTAAATTAGTTGAGATTTTTAAAAGATGTATATTGTGATGAGAAGTAGGGTAAATGACAAAGTTTACCTACTGTCTCTCTGTGGTTATTGTGTTTGTGGTTTATGAAGTCAAAATATAAATGGCTTGTGGGTCCACTATCAATGGAGTGGGTGGTATCTAGACCAAGAAATCAATTTTGTCGAGGGTCAATAAATTTGCGTGACATCATAGTTCTTAGATATTTTGTTAAAAAGTTATGTAACTTTCTGTGTCATTAATTTAATTTCTGTGGTCCAGTGTATATATGTATATCTATATGGAGCCCAAACTGAGATCAATTAAAGC